GCTTATTCACTTTAATTGTCACTAAAAAACACTAGTTTACACAGCCGACTAGTAGCTTTCGAGCTGAGTACGGATGTATAATATTGGGTGTTATGTTAAGGCTGCGTTCCGAAATTCACTGCCAGTGCTCAAATTCTATAGCATACGTGACATAAATTATAGATTTTCAGTACTGAAAGTGAATTTCGGTACGCAGCCTAAATCGAGTACGAGTTAGTTCCACTAGGATCGAAAAATGTAATAGGCACAACTATCTAGTATCTTCATGGTTCAAGACAACTCAGTACTGCTTTCCGATGCTCGAGTAAAGTTATTACATGTTCGACTGGCTCTGGGTTAACCCACTCTGGGTTATTCAGCCTACGTTTATTGGTCAAATAAGTACTTATAAGCTTTATGATTGGCTAGTAGAGACTTATAACGTCATTAATCGCTCTCGGAGCGATTAACCCAGAGCCAGTCGAACACGCTATTAGTTAGAGTTAGCTAGAGTAGCATAGCAGATAACGTGAGCATTAGGTAGTTGATTTTCAAAAAATGTTAGTTATTAATAAGTTTAATCTCATATAGTATGTTTATACCGAACATTTAATACTAGGGATATTGCAATTGGAAAGCACCCATTCTGTCTTTGTTCCATATTCAATGAGTAACTAAGGCTGGTATTCATAGTCAGATCTTATATTTAAAATTGCTTAAGTTCATCTTTAGATACTCCGTAGCCAATGAAATAACCCGTACATCATCTGAAGATAAACTTAAGCGGTCTTAAATATAAGATTCGACTATGAATATCGGCCTAAGATAAGATGATTCTTGCCGACTTATGTTATTAAATGGAAAGCACCCATTATAGATGAATAAACGCATATACCATTTGCGGAACAAACTTTTCCGCGCGATCCCACTAGATCTAATTTATTTTTACCAACATAAAAACAAGTTGGATATAGTGAAATTCAGTGATATAGTAGAAATATATTAATCAGAATAAAGCATTTCTAGTATGTCACTGAATCTCATCAGATTCAACGTAAAAAAACAAACGCCGTATGCCGTCGGTTTAGTCCCTATCTTCAATAGGTATGGTAGCCGTAAGCTTTTTTTTGGATACGGTGTATTTGGACACAGCCAATCACAGCATCGTGTGATTAGAGACATTTGTAGGGTCCCTTGGAACAGCGACTTGTGATTGGACTGTGTCCAATTGCCCCGTGTCCAACTGATATACACCCATCTAAAAGCATATAACAACTTGTGTCCATCGACATATAGGTTGCGTTCAGTTTCACGCATTATGCGCGCGTTGTCTACAATATACGTAACACGAACTATAGATAAATGCGCGCATATGCGTGAAACGTCAATAACGTTATTAAGACGTTGTACAGAAACGTCATTAAGACATCACCAAAAAGACGTCTTAAAGACATCTATTATGACGTTATTTAGTCACTTAACGTTAATCGACCAGTTATGACCAATTTTTGACGTTATTTTGACGTGTCTACTATTTGAGAAAGATAAAATGATGCTCAGGGCAGCAATCACGTAACTTCGAGCGAATCTTTTCACTTTTCACTTTTCGCTCTATCGATTTTACGTGAACTTTTTCATTGTTCACGTAATCAAATAACTCTATACGTGAAAGCACAAATCACTAAACATGGTTCCTAAGGCTGCGTTCGGAAACATCACTCGAGTATTCTCTCTCTCTTTTTATCTCACTCTTGTATTTCGCTCATTCCAACGGCTATCGTCTAGTAGTGTGCCTTCGATAAGGCGTCTAGAACTGACGCCTTACCGAACTAACCTCACACACACACACACACACACACACACACACACACACACACACACAAAACGTTATAGACACTTTCCATATTTATTTTTCTTATTTATTATTAATTACTCAGTTTCTTTAATACATTTCCAGTGAGAAATGATTTGTCGATTGACGTCGAAAAGACGTCGCTGTTTACATGTATATATGACTAAGTTTACACGGCAACTTAAAACCGATTTAGTAATTATCGTAGTAAGTAAACTCTCGCATCCGATTGGTATATTCTTTTAGATCTAGAAATATATTTAAATTAGATTCAAGAGTTCACTAACTACAGTAGTTACTAAATCGGTTTTAAGCTGCTGTGTAAACTTAGTCTATGTTTATATTTTGTCGCCACGCTTGCGCATTGCGATCATAGAACACTTTTTTCTAGTGAGCCAATTACCGTTCATCTTCTATCCTTCAGTCTTCTTTCACTCTCTTTTATAGCAAAAATTCCTTTACGCGCTATATAGTAGTATTACATATACACGTGTGTGACTTTTCCTCTTTTCTTTTCCCCACCGCAAATTTTACGATAAAAATTTAATTGCGTGTTGTAATTCTGCGATTCAAGAAAAAAAATCGTAGTACTTTCGATATATGACAAAATCGTATATCTCTAGACTCAGAAGCGTACGACTTGCAAACATAGGGTACTTTCCAGTTGCGTACACTGTGTTACACAAAACCAATTTATTTGGTTGCATATTATCTTACAAGATATTTTAGATAATATGTGACCAATA